CGTGGCTTGGGGCTGTATACTTAATAGTTCTTACCACCAGGCTACACGTAAGTACTTTAATGTAGCTTGGTGCTGTATACTTAATACTTCTTACCACCAGTCTACATGTAAGTACTTTAACGTGGCTTGGTGCTGTATACTTAGGCAGTTTTTGTTGTTTTTTCTCACCACTTGAGATTGTGTATCTGTACAACACTTTATCTGTTAAATACAATCTTCATATTCTTTAGAATCTTTGTTTCTTCTTTGGTTAATAAAGCTTCCATATATTAAATTTTTTACTCAATACCAGTTAAAACAGTCCTGATACATACTGAAACATTTCAGATCATTTAATGTCTTGGTCAAGAAATTGGTGGCTAGAGAAAAGAATACTTGCTTTCAAAGTTATTTGTGTTCCTCATCTCAGTGATTCATTATAATCTAATCTATGTGCTAATAAATCCTAGTATATAGATGTACAACATATTTGTTTGAAGCCTGTGACGTGAGTGAAATATTAGGTCGTTGCTGATGCACCCAAGATCAGCCCATATCAAGACCTGATTTTGACAATTAGCATCTGTGTGGTCCGGATGTCTATAATGTATATATACTAGTGGCGTGTGTCAAGATTCAAAACTCATCTTCAAGACCTGATTTTGATGATTAGCATCTGTGTGGTCCGGACGTCTATAATGTATATATACTAGTGGCGCGTGTCAAGATTCAAAACTCATCTTCAAGACCTGATTTTGACAATTAGCATCTGTGTGGTCCAGACGTCTATAATGTATAAATACATATACATTGTATTTTACCCATGGTTGGTTATCAAATGATAGAATTTTAAAAACACTGTATACATTGTATTTTACCTATGGTTGTTTATGGCTCATTATTGTAAGTATTTTCACTAAAGAAAGTACCTGAACGATAAAAGCCTTTGCAGCATGATTTTCATTACAAATGAGTAATAAGTACAAAATTATTCTACTAATATAAATAACATCTAAATTACTAATTACTGTGTTGAAATCCATGTGCTAGTGATGTACCCACCCATAATGTTCTAGGTTGTGAACATGCTAAATCCACAAAGATTAGTTAAAATTTTACTTTGGAAACTCGTGAGGTGTTGTAGGATTGTAACAATAACTTGTTTACTGTAGCAGTAAGTAGCAAAACATAATGCTATTCCATCAACTAAACACAGATCCTTAGTAATACTTTTTAATATGAAATACAATGACTCAAGGGTGTCCTATGAACTTTCACTAGGTCCCCTTAATTTTGACACAAAGACCATGGGTCCCTTAACCCTTTCCCAACTGGCTCGGTATAAAATACCAAGTCTGTATACACTTATAAAGTATTTATACTATAAATATTAATACAGTATGTGTATCTTCACAAATCTTGGTAGACTTTTGGGAAACATTACAAGTCTTGTACACAAAAAATCAGATTTTCAGTATTATATTTTTTTACCTAATCTAACCTTATCTAACTATAAAAGTTTCTAATTTTTACATTTTAGTTACGTTTATAGTAATAAATAAAAAATCTGTATGAAAAACAAGAAATATAGTACTTACCTGATTCTTCTCTTTTCTTTCCTGTCAATGAAACCTAACCCTATTCTTTTACTGAGGATACTAATACATTAAATAATTTTATTTATTTTAATTAAATATTACACTTACGAACACAGAATAATAACATGCAAAAAGCAGACAATGTTCCACAACTATCACAATGTTTCCGCCTTTATAACTATGTGACAAGGACCATTGAAAATTCAGCTAAGCTTGTCGACGTGTTTCTTATCATAATAAAATTTGAACTGGAAGCAAAATGGACAATTATCTGTATAGAAAACAATGTAATATAATATATCACTTGATAGATTACAACTTTGGATTTCTATTGGTTCTAAATAACACAGTATTAAACATCAGAGAAAACTACTGTCAGTTTGTGAAAGACAGGTGGGTGTGGCAAGAGGAGTCTGATTTTGTAGTTTATGGCTCTGTAACCAAATAAGATTGAAGGCTATAAAAATTATGCTTTGCTGGAATAATAACAATATTATAATGTGTAATTTACATTAAATTTCATACGCCTTGGAGGGGTGGTAAATAAATAAGAGAAGAGAGGAAGAACTAAAGAGCAAATGTCACAATTCTCATACTATGGGAAATTGAGGTTTTTTTTAAATATTGTCTTATAAAATTAAGAACTTCGGAAAGAGTTAAACTGTAGAATCTTGGAACATAACTATAATTGGTATTGAGTTCTTATTAGTTAAGCAGTGCATGCTAGTAATATATAAATAGCTTGCCACATATACTACCTTGGTCAGTCCTAGTAAATCTACCAGGGTTTTGTTTTTATTAGTTAAGCAGGGCATGTTAGTAGTACATAAATAGCTTGCCAACAATACTACCTTGGTCAGTCCTGGTAAATCTACCAGGGTTAAGTTCACCACCTTGGAGGAAAAGATCTTCAAGTTGATAGGATCTGGACAAATGCCCTGAAAATAAAATTATTAAAAGTTGTACATATATGAATGATAAAAATATCTACACTGTCTTCTACAAATAAAACTGACTTTTTTACCAACAATTCATCTTATACTTAGGTTATGCTCAAAATAATTATATGATTATTAGAACTTGTAATATTACAACTATGACATTAAAAACGTTTCTGACCAAATGATACCAATCACCTTTTCCATAGTTCATCTGACGACCAGTCACCAGTGATTTGAAATGCAAATGATATGTCATTCAACCTATTCATTATACAATGGTATAAATATGTCTTATTTGTCACTTTTAAGTGAGTCACAGAATCTAAAGTACTCCAAACTTAATGAACTGCAGCCAAACATTCAGATATCTTACTTCATTGTAAAAACAAATGATCAAACACAATTAATAAATCTAACAGAAAACCTGTTTATGTTTACAAGTTCAAACCAGACTACAGCACATAATTCAAAACAATCAAACAGTCAATATGTCTAACAGAAAACCTATTTATGTATACAACAAATTGAAAGCAGACTATAGCATATAATTCAACACAATCAAACAGTCAATATGTCTAACAGAAAACCTGTTTGTGGATACAACAAATTTAAACCAGACTACAGTGCACAGTTCAAAACAATCAATATGTCTAATATTAATTACACTAACCTTATTAGAACCACTCATCCGTTCCGTTTCCCCTTCGATTTCCTTTCTGACTTCATTGAAATCAGAATAAATCTTGTTTTTCGTATGTAGAAATTTACCCCATTCTTCTAGATCTAGAGTACCTACAAGATTACGTAAATGTCTAAACAGATAAATGTACTGACATAAAATAAACAGGAGAAATCATTTTAAAGGAATATATAGTAAGTTATTTGATTATGTTAAAAGTTTTTCTATTCTGGATACTCATTATGAAATGAAAACAATTTTTATGTTTTTAAAACATTTTTAATATAGCAAACTCATGCAAATATTATAAACATGAAGCATTTTTTGTATAATAAAGGATTTTAATGCATATATTATGTCTCTTTGATACAAATACTTCTATTAAAAAACTTCATTACACCAAAAAAAAAACACTGAACAGTAATTTAAATTTATAATTTTTATATCATTGAATTAACTTACAAGCATATGTAGAATATGGTCAAACTGATGGACTTCAAATCACACTAACTACAACCATGAGAACAGAAAATATTCAAACTGACTACTTAAAAATTACCAGGAAAGAAAATAATATAAAACAAACATCAAATTTATCTACATATATCTTAATTATAAGTGTTTTCTTTATCATGATCCAATTTTCTCGTTAGGATCAATTGTAAAAGAAAAAAATCTAGTATTTTAATTATTTATCCCCTCTCACCATAACAAATTATATCACCTTACAGAGTAGTACACCACTTAGACAATCAAACTAAACAAGATTTAGAAATACCAGTATATCGTAAGAAGTCTTTATTTCTGGTATTTATAACTATTACTAGGTTCAACCTCCCCTTCCTGTGTCCTTTCTGTAGTCTGATAAGTACGTGATTTATATGAAGATGAGTTTTGAATCTTGACACACGCCACTAGTGTTTTTAAAATTCCTTCATTTTATAATCAACCATGGGTAAAATACAATGTATACAGTGTTTTTAAAATTCCTTCATTTTATAGACAACCATGGGTAAAATACAATGTATATGGTGTTTTTAAAATTCCTTCATTTTATAGACAACCATGGGTAAAATACAATGTATACAGTGTTTTTAAAATTCCTTCATTTTATAGACAACCATGGGTAAAATACAATGTATACAGTGTTTTTAAAATTCTATCATTTGATAACCAACCATGGGTAAAATACAATGTATATGGTGTTTTTAAAATTCCTTCATTTTATAGACAACCATGGGTAAAATTCAATGTATATGTGTTTTTAAAATTCCTTCATTTTATAATCAACCATGGGTAAAATACAATGTATATGGTGTTTTTAAAATTCCTTCATTTTATAATCAACCATGGGTAAAATACAATGTATACAGTGTTTTTAAAATTCCTTCATTTTATAATTAACCATGGGTAAAATACAATGTATACAGTGTTTTTAAAATTCTATC